ATTTAATGCCTGAAACTAACAATAACCAAAGGACACTATTTTGTGTAACAAAATGCACCTGCTCTCACCTATTGTCTCTGTTAACAGTGCTCCCTGTCGGAGTTGCCTTCTATATGGAGAAATCCTACCAATGTGATATTCTTAGCCTCTCTCTACTCCTTTGTTTATTTCTCTTCAGAAAGACGCGAGATTCAATCTGATGGGTAAATCTGAAAGAAACTAGATACATATAAAGTAGTCCCTTTCTATCACCATCTCTTTTTTGGGAGAAGGCATCAGGTAGTCCAGTACGTTTTGTACTTGGCTAGGTAATTTGATCAATTCCGAGGATCAGTATTTGGAAGTCCACTTGCCCACGCATATAAACCATATTCTATTTCATTAGCTTCACTGGGAATTATTCTGTTTTCTATCTGATTTATTCTTTTGTCCTACTTCTCAGTTAGTTCATAAGCCAAACAGAATAGAGAGGCATTGTTTACTGAGCCCCTTAAACATCAACACTTCTCTCCTGGCTAACAGTCTCTTATTCATGCTTTCATACAGCAAATATTGCTGAAGCCTTTGCTACACATTGGATCCTGCACTTGGTGCTGTAGGTGGTGAGAAGGTGAATTCAGTCCCAGCTCTAATTTAATCCTGGCTTAGGTCTGCCTTCTGAGAGTGAATTATAGGGTCAGCCGTCAACCCAGACAAAGCCACTATATTGAGTGTGAAACTGGAGCAATTAAGTGAGGAAAGGAAAGGAGCATGAGCTCTAAATCTGCCTTGCACAGCTCCTATTCCATTAATTTATTAAACACAAACAGGTCAGACTAACAGAAAATCTTACTGTTCATTATTTTTGACAGCTTATTTGAAATTTAAAATCTTTGTGAACTAAATTTATATTATTTTTACACTTTTGGATGGCTGCAAAGTTCCTGGCTTGAGAGGCAGAGGACGCAGTGCCCCAGCTGCTGCCCAACCTTGGAATGGAAAGGCAGTCTGAGGGAGAAGTATCTACATAATAGTACTTTTGCCTACAGAACAGTACTTTTGTTCCCAAATGTTGAAAATTGCCTAATAAATGTTTTGATCAAATCCATTTGACTATTTTTCCTTTAATTGTGATTTGGGTTGTCTAGGAACTCCTTTCTCTTCCATCTCGTTTCCATTATCCCAGTGACAGAAAGTTGGCAGTTTCCTATTTGTTTCCTAGTCTACTCACTGTGTAATTAATAACTGACCAGATTATGAATCCATATCTCCTTTAGGACTCTGTCTCCTAAATGTGCTGTTTCTCTCTCTTCACTGGGTTTTCCTGAACAGCCTTAAAAAATTCAGGGAAAAAAAATAAAGAGAAAATGGATGGATCTTGGTACTCTCTTAACAGTAGGCCTAGAATAGTACAGAAATAACATCTTTGCAGAATGTGCTGGGAAAAAGGGATGGAGGCATTTCCAAAACCCAAACAATGTTTCTTCCACCTGGAATCCACACCATTATTTTGCCTGAGAGACCAACCTGCTCCAAATTCCTCTTTCATTCTCATTTACTGCCAGGCCAAGGTCTACCCAAACCTGTCACTCATAATGAGCTGGATAATGTCAGTGTACTGGGATAAATTTTTACTTTCTCAACGATACTCTGTTCCAAGAAATACAAGGCCGTTTTATTAATATGTGAACAGTAAATGTATGTACTGTTTATAGAGCCTGCCAAAATAGTTTAAAAATGACACTATGGAAAATTATTAACCAAGCACTTTGCAACTTTTCAAGACAGAATTTAAATGCAGTTTCAAGCACTCTCATTTAATATTTTTTGTATAAGTTTCTAACTGTGACTGGTTTTGACTCTGCTAGGAAAATCTCAGTATGGAAATTTCCTGAGCTGACAGCAGGTCATGCTGAATTAGAAGCATCACTCTTGTAGGGGGGAGGGGTAGCAGTTAAAGAATGTACTGAATTTATTTCCCATTAGTTATATATTCATAAAAGCATTGAAGAGTAACTTTCTAATTTCCCAGTTTTAAAAACAATGGATCCGTTTTTCCATTCAGCTTCTCCTAATGTGATGGGAGCGAAGAGAAACTCAAAGGAAGCTTCAACTCAGGTCATGTTTCAGAACTTTTTCCCAAGAATGTTGTCTTTTTCTTTTCTTTTTATTTTTTCCCCCAAGTCCTATTATTTTTTCCATGACACATGATTGCGATGTCAAAAGCAGATATACTGTACTCCATAAGCGGACCTCTAACATTTAAACCTAATTGAGAGGCACACAGAATTTTAACTGGAAATTTTGATTCAGGCAGGTTGAACTAAACAGCCCATCTGTGCCTACCCTTCATCTCCCAGTGTATTCTCATTTAAGAAAATTAGACTATTCCTTTGCTGCTAGACATTTTTATTCACTACTCACATTAGTGGGTAATCTAAAAACTGAAATTTTGATATGGGAATAACAGTGCTTGAGAGGAGGCCAGGAATTGAAGGCAAAAGGAACTTTGATTCTTTTTAGTGACTTTCATTCCTCTCTTAGCTTTTAAAAGGAGAAGTTCTCTCTTGTGATCCTTTCCTGACATCATCTTTAACTTTGTTTGTTCTTATCCTTTCTTTTGAAAATTTCCCCCAAATTCAATGTAACTGTATTAATCAGCTATGGCTACTATGATGCTACATAACAAACCACTGAAAAGTTCAGTGCACTGGTGACACAAGTCTTTATTTCCTCTCTTACAGGTCTGTGGTTTGTTTGGGATGGTTTTGCTTCAGGCTTTGAGTTGACTGTGCTTCATCCCTGGCTTCAGGTTAACTGCAAGTGGGCTTTATATATCTCCACATACCCCTAGAACCAGGAGCTACCCAAGTCAGGTTCTCTTCACAGTGGTTCACAGAAGGCCAAGGAGGCAAGCAAAAACCTAGGATGTCTCTTAAGAGCTCGGTTCAGAATTCCATATTCATTGACCAAAAACTTCATGTGGCCAAACCCAACATCAATGGAATAGAGAAATCTCCACTTACGGTCATGCACTGCCAGACACATGGTAAGAGGGAGAATTGAGAAAAATATCATTGAATCTATAGTGACCAATGGGAAGTAAAATATTCCATTGTTTCTTGACTCTGCCTCAGACTGCACATTAAACATTATGTGATTTGCCACTCGTGTTATATGATACAATAAGTTGCCTTAAAAATAAAGACCCTTGCATTTAAGACCCTGTTGTATTTCAGAAAGTGATTTGTACACATTTTACCAACCTCATGTAGTAATGCCAGTTACAATGAACACGTAGGATATCATAGCCATTCTTAGAAATAGTCAAACATTCTCAGAAACATTTGCCTTTCTCTTGCATTCACCAAACACAATTATACTTCTCACAAACCCTGGTACATCCTGGGATGTTGCAGTAATTTTTCTTTATTCTCTCTACGTCTTATTTCATGTTTTAGGTCAAAGCATGGAGTCAGGAAAGTTATACAAAAAGATAACTAAAAAAAAAATAAGAAATTAGAAAAGGAAAGCATAAGAAAAAGTGGGTGCTAGGTAAATGGGATGAAACAGCTCTACCAATACACACTGTGAGTCCATGCAGATTGAATACACTAGAATCTCAGGTCTTTATTCAGTGCCAAGTGATCCTTAAAATACATTACAAGAAAATGAATGAATTCATTGCAATGAATTTCCACTATCATCTTAAACCTGGAATTTAAGATGTGTCACTAAAACTGGTAATGATAAAGTCTCACTAGTCAGGAGCCAACTCTAGTGACTGCAACAGTAATCTGATATGTATTCTGTGCCTGGAAAATAAGTGAGTGCTCATAAATGGTTACCATTATTATTCATTTTATTAGTGTATATGAGTTACTGTGCTATGTATTACAGATAAAGTGGTGGGTAAAACACATATGGTTGTACTTCTGCAGATTGTTCAGTGATTAAACTCAAAATTTGGTTTTAAGACTGTCAGGCAGACCTATACACAATGAATTTAAGAGTAGCTTTTATAAAAAATAATGTTTTTAGTTCCCTGCATATTCAATTTGAATTAACAACAGAATATAGCTACAATGGAAAATTGTTTTTACTGATAGGTTAATTAATAGGGATATATTTACCAAAAAAAGGAAGGCAATCACCCTACTTTGCTCTTGACAAGTCAGTCAACATGCGGAGAACTATATTAAATTTGTGTTAGCAAGTATTAACATTTTCAGAAATTTAATGAAAAATTGAACTGTGCACAGAAGAAAGTACCCAAAACGGTATTTATTTGAAAATGTTTGTATAAGGAAAAGATGAAGGAAAACGTGGCTTTTATCTTAAATAAGAGAAATAATTTTATATACATTCTTAATAAGTGTTTAAAGGTTACTGTGGTCAATATGTTATATTCGTTATTATAGAGGTTAAAACTTGGAGTAAAAAGAGAACTGATTGCCTTTAGTACAGGTGTAACTATGATTGTTATTCTAACCCACTCATTTATTCATTCATTTAGTTTTTAAATCAACAAATATTCTTTGAAAAATCTACTAAATGTTGTGCAAACGATCTGGGCACCAGGAATATAGCAATAAAGAAGAAAAACAAAACCATTGCCCTCATGATTCCCTACATTCAAGTAAGTAAAAAACTTGTAAATCAATAATCTCAGGTTGTAATAAATTCTATTGAGAAAATTTATTTAAAATTATTTGTTTCAAGGATGTGAAAAACGCGTGTTTTGTGTGTGTCCTCTCTTCATTCCAAGTCTATCACTCAATATCTTTTCATTTTTATGCTCAGATCTAAATGTTTAAGTTCTGATATGGTATGGCAGAGGAAGAACTGTAATATGCACTAGACAGATATGGTTTCATCCTTGGCATGGCTATTAACTAGCTATGGGATCTTAAGCAACTTACTTGACCACTTTGACCCTCACTTTCCTTATTTATAAAATGTGGGGAAATGGTGACAGCATCTGTGCAAGGATAAAATGAGATGACATGTGAGATAGTTACCTCTTTTGATAGTTCTTTATTGGCAGCTCCCATCACCACTCTTCTCTACAGATCTATGTATTCTCTTCCCCTGCCCTTCTTGTGGCCAGGAGGCTGATCTTCAAGGACTGCATCTCCTGGTTTCCCTTGTTGATTGGTTTCCAGTTCAGTTCAGTGACTGGAAGCACTGGCAGGAAAATATAAAAAAGAGAGGTAAGAGTATTTCTTCCCTAACGTTTCCATGCATTGGCAGGTATATTTAGCACTAGCTGCATCCCTCTAAGACCAATGCTTCAACAAGGTGGCCCATTTTTTAAAATAATCCTAGCTTCCTCTGTGCTTGAGTAACTTCATTTCATCCCTAACCTTTTTATCCTGGGAGTGACATGCTTTCTTACTGATGTTAGCCCATGGATGACTCTCACTGTCCCTTCACCCCATACACACATCCATAAGTAGTCCTTCATTAAAGTCTCTGCATTTGAACCATCTGGAGAACTGGATTCTGACTAATACAGTACTTACTACCAGGAATAGCCACATAAAGTAGCTATTCAATAGAGGATTCAGAAACTAGTTTGTTAAATGTTGGATGAAGGCATTATCTTCCTGAAGGAAAATGGGAGACAGGTAATGGCTTGCTGTGCCATCATAATTACTTAGATTATTGCCAGTGAAGGCATACGATGGAGGAGCAGGTATCCTATGCCTGTTGCATTTTGTTTCTATGACAATAATGATAATTATAAAGAGTATGGGGCTGGCTAGCTACCTACGACTATGCAGAAAGCTCACAAAGAAACAAAAAATAAATGTACAGAAACTTAAATTTCAAACACAAAGTACTAGTGGAGAACTAGAAAGCTCCTGTAATGAACCTTAAAAGAATCCCTTATATCTAGTAACTACAGTGCAGACATGCCTGAAGATTGGGCTCAAATGTGTAATTGTGTAAGTAGTAGAATTGCTGCATTTTATAAATGCACATCGTTACCAAAGCACTTAAAACAAGGTTAGGGCATTGGTTGAGAAGTTGCACTGTGAGACTTGGGATGAGGATATTTGGATAGGATAGACCCATTTGAAGGTGTAAACTTTGATTTTCCAAATCACCTCAAGATGATTTTGCATAAAGAAGGAGCCTTTTTTTCCCAGTATTAGAAAAATAATCTTTCTGTACAGAAAGACCTTTCAGTGGCCCAATCTGCACTTTTGACTCACAAAGGGATGCCAGTTCTTCTCAAAACTCACCCCCTACTATCACTCATTGCCTTTATATCCTAACTAGAGCTATATCTAAGCAGCCCTCATGTATAGAATTGATAACCCTATTTCAAAAAAGAGACAGTATACACCACAAAACTTAAAACATCTTTTAAAACTGGATCATCAGAAACCTTATAATCTGTGTAGGGATGGTTTCTAAGAGTGTTATACTGAAGAAGACAAAATATAAGAGTGAATTGAGCCAATTCATCAATAGATAATAGGTGCACTTTCAGTATTTTGAATTAACGTGCCAGCCAAGGCAATGCTAAGCACTTCTAGCAGTTTCCTTTGTTGACTAGTGAAGTCTGGATTCAATTTAAAACATTTCATGATATTAATCTGCCAGAACTTCCCTGCCCTAATTTAGAGCAAAATAAATAAATAAATACAGACAGACAGACTTTAGCAAATTAAGGTCTTAATGTTGATTTTTTTTTTTTTTTTTTTTTTTTAGACAGAGTTTTACTTTTGTTGCCCAGGCTGGCCCCACAACTTCCAATTCCTGGGTTGAAAAGATTCTCCTGCCCCAGCCTCCCGAGTAGCTGCGGTTATAGGAATATGCCACCACACCCAGCTAATTTTAATTTTGTATTTTTAGTAGAGATGGGGTTTCTCCATGTTGGTCAGGCTGGTCTTGAACTCCCAACCTCAGGTGATCCACCTGCCTCAGCCTCCCCAAGTGCTGGGATTACAGGGGTGAGCCACCACAGCTGGTGAGGTTGATTTATTATATGCAACGTACACGCCTTCCTTCTCTGTCCATCAGGAGATGCCAGAGAACAGTGTGCCTTTTCCTGTGAAGGCATTCAAAAAATTAATACTCTTTCCATCAAGGCAAGTAAGAAAATTCACCAAGAAGAAAATAGCATCTTCAGAAAGCTTGGAAGTGGCTCTTTGGCAAACTGAAAATAAAGATGGGGAATGCCGCCATTGTATTAGGATCTCTCATTTCTTGAAATCTCTCATTTCAACAAGAATAATGCAATCCTGGGGTAGGAAAGGCCATGTGGTAGTGCTTAACCCTCAGAGAAAAGGTGGTTGCAATTACCATAATTGGCCACAGAGATGGGGTGGCAATCAGTATTGTGACCTGCAGGAATCTGTGGCTGTGGCTAATGACAATGTTCCCTGTAATGAAGTGGATGGGCAGTTTATGAGGTATTAGTTGACCTATCTAACTGGAAAAAAGTATATTCCTTTTGAACAGAAATCTGTCTTGAGTCACCAAAAAGCAGATTTATGACTTCTTATAGTCTTATAGGCTCTGCTCAGTTTCTAGACCTAGGAATTTTTTGAGGACCCTGCAAGTCAGCCCCTGGGAAGATAGTTAGATGGACCTTGGAGAATGACTGTAAATTGCAACAATTTTATCTGATTTTAGCTGTTATTCTAAAAGTTATATCTAGACTGGTGAAAATTAACATAGCCACAGCTTAACAGGATAGCAACTATTCACCTGGCAAACACTTTTTTCTTCATCCCTAGGGACACTATATGAAGCATCTGGCATATACAGGGCATATTCATAGAATGTTGGAGCAAAGCAACAATTCATCCACTTGAGAAACAGCTGTCAGGAGCATCAGTTTCACTGAAGAAAGTTGCAAAAATCTAGTGTTTGGGGTTTTGAATGCACAAATGTCTAGCTAGAAACTACATCTCAACCTCCCTTGTAGCTAGGTATCCCCTTCTTACAGGTTATGTAGATATGCAGCAACCCAGTTTCTACTGTAAGAAGAGGATCATATCCTAGGGGTAGCAAATGCTATAAACCTGAGTTTCTGAATAACCACCTGCAGCAGGGAACCCCCACCAGCCTACACTGGCCAGATATTTCATGAGACAGAGAGAGAAATTTACATACTATTCGGGCCACTGTATTTTTAGATCTTTCTATTTCACCAGCTAAGGTGAAATTGACTTATGTAAAGCTATCATCACTAAACCTAATCCACTTCTAACCTATTAAATTACAACATTTCTATGATCCCTTATGCAATTTGTCTGTTTTTAATAAGAACCTGCAGCATCTGACCCTTTTCATTATTCCATGCTTTGTAAAACATTCTATTAGCTTCTGAGGCATAGCTCTTTCATGTTATTTTTCATACTTCTCTCCCCATAATTCTTGACTTCATTAAATGCTGTTTTCTGGTATAACTGGAAAAGGAATCATCGATAGGGGGCAGGGAGAAAGGGTGGAAAAGCAAAAGAAAGGCAGTTTATGTAAAAAGACCTGAGAGTGATTTTTAAAAAAGCTGGGAAGGGCCAGGTGTGGTAGCTCACACCTGTAATCCCATCACTTTGGGAGGTGAGGTGGGTGGATCATGAGATCAAGATATCGAGACCATCCTGGCCAACTTGGCAAAACCCCATCTCTATTAAAAATACAAACATTAGCCAGGTGTGGTGACTTGCTCATGTAGCCCCCTACTCAGAAGGCTAAGGCAGAAGAATTGCTTGAAACCAGAAGGTGGAGGTTGCAGTGAGCCAAGATCATGCCACTCTACTCCAGCCTGGGCAAAGGAGAGAGACTCCACCTCAAGAAAATAAAAAATAAAAAATAAATAAAATAGCTGGGAGAGTTATGTCAAAGGATTATATTCTGAATTTATCATAATTATTACTTTAAGATGTGAGAGACTTGAACATCTTTATATCCATAAAGGTAATCTGTAGCAGAGAAAAAAAAAAATAAAAGAGAGGGAGAAAATAAGTAGAACAAAATTGTTGAACAGGCAACAGGGAATGGAAATAGCATGGTGAAAACAGAGTTTTAACAATAGGAAAATTATTTCTTATAGTGAGAAACAACAAAAATGTAAAGTATGGGGAAGTGTCATAAAAGGATCTGAAAAAAGATCTTACTAGATTGTGTCAAACTTCTCAAAGTAGAACTTACATTTCTATGCTGGGAGCTGCTTCCTGAGTTCTACCCTCAGCCTGGAACATTCTTCTCTCAGGCCTTTAGGAAGCTAATTTGCTTAAATGTCGTTTCCCATCACTGTTTCCCTCTCACTTTACTTTATGGTGTTTTCATCATATTTATCATTCACTACCTGATGTTACATATGTTTGGTTTTGCCCATAACTAGAAAAAAAAATGTCTAGTTTAATCACTGCTATTTTTATGCCACACTTTGAATGGTGCCCCACACATTATAATTTCTCAATAAATAATTATTAAATGAATACATACAGTTTTCATAAAATAGTTAAAAATCTGGACGATTCACAAACTAGACGAGAGTATGACAACAGGCACACTATTGCCCAGCAGTGCTGTGAGTCCAGCTAAGTTACAGCCAAGGGAACCAGACTAACTTGAGTGTTAGTAGTTAAAACATGATTTAATTGCCACTGGAATAGCTAGTCAGATTATGAAATGAATAAATTCAGAAAAAAATCCCAAGAATGTTGATAAAATTAATTTAAAATGATAAATAAAAATAAACATTTTCAAAGATAAGTTGTTTATTTCAATGATGTGGAGAAAAGATTATATGATGCTTGGTGAACTGCTAAACATTTAAGAATTCTTTCTCATGCTATATCAATTCTAGAAATTATAAAAAATTATATAAGGGCATATAACTGGGTCATAACATCCTATAAAAATAGAGTCATTTTTAAATGTTAGAGCAGGAAAAAGCCAACATCAAAGGATAAAATAAGGCTCACATCTATAATCCCAGCATTTTGGAGGCCAAAATGGGAGAACTGCTTGAGGACTCAAGTTGAAGATCACCTTGGGCAACATAGCAAGATCCTCATCTCTACAAAAAATTAAAAGTAAAATTTAGCCAGGTATGGTGGCACACACCTGTAGTTCTATTTATTGAGGAGGCCAAAGCAGGAGAATTCTTTAAGCCCAGGAGTTTGAGGTCGCAGTGAACTATGATCACACCAGTGTACTCC